CTGGTGAATCCTCTCACCCTCCGCATCTCTGGCCTGTGCCCCAGTTCTGTACGAATAAATATAATAAATCTTAAAAAAATATATATATATATATTCGTTAAACTGAGCCACTATCATTTAGGTAAGTCAATGAGCCCCTCCAGATTTCAACCAGTCCTTACAAAATGAGTTGAACTAGGTGTTCCATAAGATCCTCTTCTTGGGGCCCTCCCTGGTGGCGCAGCGGGTGAAAGCACTGCACTAAGAAGCTTAAGCCAATTCCGCATGAGTTCGATCCCCGCCTGCCCCTGGGGATATCCACATGGCGTGGCAGACCTCTCCTGACCCGCCTGCTGCTCCCCTCAGCAGTGTACTTTGTCGATCTGCCTGTTCTGCTCCCACTCTGTTCCTGGTGAATCCTCTCGCCCTCCGCATCTCTGGCCTGTACCCCAGTTCTGTATGAATAAACAAATCTTTAAAAAAAAGATCCTCTTCTTTCCCTCTTAAGGGGAAAGATGGTGCTTATATAATACTTCAATTATGTCTACCCTATGTTACATAAACCATAAGTGTCAACTTTAAATTTCATTGTAGAATTAAACATTCAATGTGTTATTGACAACTGCAAAAGTAAGGGGAGAGACTATGAAGTGGCATTATTTCAGACCATGAATACATAAATTCCATTAAAACAGCCCAAATTCTTAAAATACCATACCTTGCTATCAACTTTTAATAAGAATTTCCCGATGCCAATGATTGGCCAGGGGGCCAGGGCTTCCTGCCGCTCCTTCAGGAAGTGGTCTATGACCTGCCACCACAGGCGGCAGCGCTTCTCTAGGAAGTTCACGACTCCAAAATGAATGACAAGCTTTTTGAGTATCCAGACTGTGGAGAAGATAAGAAACACATGTACATACAAACTGACTATAGGTTAGATAGTTAAAGCATGAAAAGGCTCCTTAATTTAATGTGACCTTAAAACAGAGATAAAAATTTAAAGAAAAAAACATGAGGGATGAGGAAGAAAGGACTTAATAAATTTCGTACACACGATATCCACAATAAAAGAAAGCCAAAACAGCCCAGAAAAGTATAAAACAAGACTCTTCTACAGTGCATCTGATCCAGAGAGCACTCTTCCTTATTCTTGTCAGCCTTGCAAGACAGCTTTAAACCGAAATAATGGAATAGAAGTGGGCCTATGTCACCATGATAGGTACAAAGTAACCAATTCAAAAAAATATAGAAAAAGCCAAAAGATTCCAATTTTAAAAAAAGACTGCATGATTTAAGAAAAATCATGCAATCTAATTTTCTGTCAAGCAAAAGAAAAATCAAGACATGGCAGAGATATATTTCTCAAAACCAGCATTTCCTTTGAATTAAAATGCAATGTAACACACACTTCACTAAAAGTGACAATCAAGATTCAGTTGTGAACCCCAAAGCCCAAGACTGTTGTTAACAAGCTCCCAGACAGAACCATGGATGGGTGAACAGTTCACTCTTCAGAGGAAACAAAAGTATAGGGCTGAATACATGTTCAAGTCTACAAGTGAAATAGTAAGGTGACCAAGTAATAATAAATTTCTAAAACAATGCTTATTGAAATATAAATATGACATTTATTTAAAACAGTAAAACTACCAAATCTGAAAAGCCAAATATAAAAACAAACACACAAACGGCAAGATCTAATGAAGCAGATTAACCTGCAATAGGCACGGGCAGCAACTGCACGATCCACAGGTTCAACCAGACCTGGACGCCGATGATGGCCCAAACCAGACACACAAAGTAGACATCGCTCGTTTTCTTCTTTCTAAGAAACGTCCCCATTTCAGGCCTTCGTCTGCTGAGAGTGGGTGAAGGGGATGAGGGTGAAGGAGAAGAGGATGAGGTAGGAGGGGGTTCTTCCCTGTTCGTGTTTTCTGAAAAGGGAAGAAAAAATGCACCCAATTTATTGGTCCACATGAAGAAACAAGTATGTAGAACAATTTCCTAGGCCATACTATTTTAAATCTTCAAAATGTATTCTGATAATCTGTACAGTACATTGGGTTAAAAAAGCATTAGGATGTAGTTTATACATGCAATGAAAAGGATATGGAGAATTACAATACTGAAGTGTTTCATCTAGGAAAATTAAGTTTATTGGGGAGGACTGGACATGGAGAAATTTTTACTTTATATTGTTCAAGTTTTTTATTTATTTGTTATTTATTTATTTATGCATATAAGAATGGGGGCATAGGCCAGAGGTGCGGGGGGTGAAAGGATTCACCAAGAGACAGTGTGGGAGCAGAAAAGGCAGATCTACTGAAATACACTGCTGAGGGGAGCAGCGGACAAGACAGCAGAGGTCTGCTGCACATGTGTGTTTACTCCCTGACCGGGCACTGAACTCATGCTGCAGGAGATGCGGAGGATAGCTTCAAAGTGCTAAGACTTAACCTCCTGCACCACCAGAAAGGCACCCTGTACAAGTTTTTTATGACATGTCACATATTATTTAAAGAAAGAAAAACTACCAACAGGCATATGACAAAATCACTGAGAATTTTAATTGGCACAAATTATTGAAACCACATAAAGCAGCATATAATACAATTGAATTACTATTTTAAGAATTATCCCTTTTAACATAACTTAATATTAGATGTATGTACATATACATATATATAATTTGTGACACAATATTGCCTATCAGTGTTATTTCACCTAAAATGGAACCAACTACTGATATAAAAAGCACCTATGCGGGCCCTCCCTGGTGGCACAGCGGGTTAAAGCACTGAGAAGTAAAGCCAATTCCACATGAGTTTGATTCCCGCCTGCCCTGGAGGTGACCACATGGTGTGGCAGACCTCTCCTGACCCGCCCACTGCTCCCCTCAGGATCTTCCTGTTCTGCTCCCCACTCTGTCTCTGGTGAAAACCTCTCGCCACCCCTGAGCCTCTGGCCTGTACCCCAATTCTGTATGTACAAATAAATAAATCTTTAAAAAAAAAAAAAAAGAGCACCTATGCTCCTGAAACATATCTTTCTCTTAGTGTGAGATATGACAAATTGCTGAAGATAAGGGGTTTTCTAATACAGGAAACCATAGTGAGTTATTTCACATACAACACTGTTTTCTAACAATGTCACTACTGTGTTGCATTTTACCATAGGGTTATATATTATTTCTACTTTCTAGTTTTACCAAGACATACCATATACATAAGAAATCATATAACTATATATAATAAATGTTAGGTGTACATCACTAAATGATACATGAGACCGGGGTGGGCGGGTGGCTAGAGGGTAGCACACAAATATGAACAGAGGGGAAAATGAAGGGCTAGTAAATAACTAGGGTATTTACTATTTACTTTAACTTTACATTCTATGTTTATTCCATTCATAACGTAAGTCACCTCCAGGCTGAGTCGAGGGCTGGTCTTCACTGCTTGATTCATACCCAGTGATAGAGATGGCCAAGTTTGCCAGGGTAGAAGCTGCCATGGAGATAACCTGGCCAGGTAACTCTGCCCCTGTGGAAAAAAGCCAACTTAAAAAAATTCTTTAAAGCATATGAACAAAGTATGAAATAACTGCTGCAAATTGAAACAAATTGAAAGTCCTACGATTTCAACAGCAATAAAAACAAATGGTCATTTTAGTCTTAACAGACCAGTGGTTTTTGCTAAGGGAAAACAGGAAGGGTCAACAGGAAGCTTCTGTTAAGATGCAGAGACCTGAACTCTGCATACCGCCTTCATTGGGGAACATCAAGTTGGTGTGTATGTTAGATGCTGGATAATTAAATGTGGCATGGTATGCTTATATTTAGTTTCACAAGTTAATCTGAATATGTATCTCTGATGAAAAACAGTCATGCTAACCCTGTGAGCACCCTCAATGCAAACTGTTTTACTCCTTCCTTTGTATTATCAACCCTGTAGCTGTAAGGGACAGCCCATACTTGGTGCTCAAAATGACAACATTCCACGGATGAATACGCAAATGTATAAATATTATGCACAACTATACAGAGATACAAAGCACACAATTCAGCACAAGTAAAATCCACCACCTGAAAATATAAAAGAACATTATTACCTTGTTTCAAACTATAAATTCCTATGTTAAGCTCCTAATAGGTGGTACCAAAGCTTAATTACTAGCACTAGACTCAAAATATTTACTGGAAGCAATGTTAACCTACTCTAGCAGACAAGAAGACCAGCTCACACAACACCAATAGTAAAATATGGCAGAACCATAGAGCACTATAACAATCAGGATATATCAACATAGATAAAAGATATAAAACAGTCTAATACTGCATGGATCTTTCCTGTTGTATTTTTGATATGTCCATGTCTGCTCCCCATCACGTAAATAAATGATCAGTTTTGAGACATGAAAAAACCTTATCTTGCTGTTTGATTTAAAAACAAAACAAAACAAAAAACAACCAAGAGTACAGCGGACCAAGAAAGGGCAGAGAGAGACAAGTCATTATAAAACTACAGACAAAGCACGATGTTAACAGTCTGCTGGGGTTAACGGGTGAGATGTTGGAAAAGTAGCTTCAATGAGAGACAGAGTAGGCAAAGTCGACCAAGACTTAATGAAACATCATTAAAAGGAATTAAAGAGATGGAAGTATCAAGAATGACACCACATGTTTCTAGATTGGGGAAATAGATGAGATTCTTTACATCAGATTTCAAATAGCTGAGACTGTGATAGTAAAAAAAAATACTTGTCAGTCTAAGTTCCATAAGGTGGTGGATTAACTGAATTTGCTTTGACCCTGAGATTCCACCCATCTGATGGGAAGATTTATACTGTCTATGGAGGTAGGTTCTCTGGAAAGGCTACCAAACAGATCTGAAAGCATTCTGAATTGTATTGTTGCTGTTGGAGTGTAAGTCCTCTCAGCTTCAACCACCCTGAAGATCCATCAGTCCTTTTTCTGTTAACTGGCCCTGCAAGAGATTTGAAAATTCCCTAGACTCTCTAGGAAGAATAGGGGACTGACATCATGAGCCCTGGTCTTTCACACGATCACTAGCTATATCCCAGGTAGATGGAAACCTTGGGTTTCTGGGCTTTCTGGTCACTTAGAAACAATTACCAATGGTAGAAGGAAAGACCCTGTCATATTTGCCCATCCTTCTCAGTCTGGGCCCCCAGGACATTAAAGGTGCATCTGAGGCTTATTTCCCTAGCTTCTGATGCCACGCTTCTCACACTGAGAATAAACCAGATTCTGAGTCAAAGTTTCTTTATCTATAAAATAAGTAAAATGCCATTTTCACTGAATTACTAAGGAAATAAAACAAAAGGGCATGTTTAAAGAATCTAACTAAGCTGTACCCAGAGAAGCGTAATGCTAGCTGCTCTCTTCTTATAGAACACAAATTGATCACATTGCCACATAAAACCCAGGTGGTGGGAATTTCATGTAAATCATACATTGTACAAAAATGAAGGATGATGTAATAAATATATTTAAAAAAAAAAACCCAGGGTACTCCCACGTGAGGCTTCAGGGACTCAGGAGACAGAGAAGCAAGGACCCATAGCTGCAGTGAGTGAGCTCACAAGTACAATCAAAGGCAGGAAGACCAGTGGGCAATTGTTGGCAGAGCTCTTGCATGACCCTGACTGGCATCTGAGCTTGGATACCGAAAGGCAGGAGAAAGCACATGCGCCTTGGGGAAATGCTCTCCAGGTCTGAGCTCCAAGAATGTGGGAAAATAGGTCATGTGAGCAAGCAGCCACTTCTGAGAAAGACAGCAAAAGAGCTTATCAGGAGAATGTGTGCGAGGGGTCAGCCATCTGGGGCTGGCCAGGGTGTTCCAAGAATTAGAACACCAGATATAAAATGAGAAAAAGTCAATATGCTATTGTTACTGTTTGATAATGTAGCGTATATAAAGAGCACGCTGCAGAATAAAGATTCACTGCTTGCTGGACATAGCAGTCATCCCTCTGGTTCCTCCTTCACAAGCGCGCCCCAGGTCCCAGACCCACTAGAAGTCCACAGGTAATACCCTTCCATGACGACTGATGCTTTTTCAAAGAGCCTGGTGAAAGGAAACAGCACCAGCTTTAGGGTCAAAGACCCAGGTTTAAAACCTGGGTCTTTTGACTATGGGCACATCAATTAAATTCTGGAATTTGTCATCCATAAAACGCCTTCATCTGTAAGTTACAGGTTTTGTGGATATTTCTGTTTTGGTTGTGGAGTATCTGTTTCAGGAGATACCAAATCGGAGCTCCCAAGGACCAAGAATATACCACTGACTAAGGCCATGCTGTGCAGAAGAAACTGTTGAAACTAACTCAGCAACGATGCACAAAAAGAGTTTTCTGGATCTAGGAACTAAATAAACTCATGTTTTCAATTCTGATGAAATTCAAAGGATTAACTGTATGAGTCCAGTAAACCAGGGATCACAAAAGCTCCTACAGCAGCAAAAGATTCAAAGTTCAAAAGACACAACGATGTCTACACTAGGACCCAAGCACAAGTCAGGCTGGGCAGAAGGAAGTGGCACAGGGGCATTGCCCCCCAGACCGGGAGCTGCTGCACCCAGCTGTAGTACAGCGACACCTAGAGGAGGGAACTGACTACAAGTAAACGGTAAAGGAGGCAGGTCTCAACAGGGTGACAGGATTTGAGTTCTGATGTCTAAAAGAAACAAGATTCTAAGGGCAAGAAGAGGGGAAAAGGTTAAGAAATTTAGAAGTAATGCTTAAAAGATTATGATCAAGAAAAAATAATTAATCCTCAACTTGGCTGGAATGAAGTAAATGAAAAAGGAAAAACCAACATTTCCAAATCTGCTCTAATATTTATTGTGTCCCTGGGATCCCTTTACTTGACTACAAGACCCAAATTACGTAGCTTGCACGCTAACACATCGCATCATGATTTATGGGTAATAATAATAAACATGTTCTTTCTTTTTCTCCAAGCTCAAAACTTGGTATTAGAATTCTTGGGTTCACAGTTTACTAAGGTGTCGCCACCACCTGAGTTTACACAAAAGAGAAAACTCACCTGAAATCACTGGTTGAGACCTGCCTTACTCAGGTACTTGCTATAAAGCACTTAGGCACAAAAGTAGTCAAAAGGGGAACACTGGTTGGGGTGAGGGGTGATGGATAAGCAGAGCTGTGTCAATCACTTCCTATGGTAGTTGCCAAAAACAGGGTGTTTAGGTCTTCTGGTCTGACAGGTGACCACAGAGTCTAACTGAATGCCACCAGGAAAACCAACTGAACAAAGCAAACTTAGGAAGATAACAAAAACTCCTATTTTCCACAGTCAGAGAGACAAGTAATTAAGATTTCTGTATTTCAGAAATCTTTAAAATTCTAAATAAGCAACCAAAAAAAAGAAACACATGTCTTTTGCAGCAACATAGATGGAGCTGGAAAAGATCATATTTAGCGAAATAAGCCAGAAAGAAAAGGAAAATTATCAGTTTCACTCATAGCAGGAGTATAATGGACCAGGCAAGAAAATAATAATAACGAACAGCCACATACCAAAGACATTTTGCAGGGTAGAGTGGGGAATGGGATCAAAAACCGGGGCGGGGGCGGGGGATGGATGGAAGTGCACTAGACTATGGTGATGGCACACAGGTGACTCAGTGATGCGAAACCCACAGGGGCTACAATTGAGATGAAAAAAAAAAAATATATATATATATACACAAAATGATGTAAAAATAAACTATTATATTATATAAAAAACAATTCTAAACAAATATGTATGAATAACGGTGTCTTAAAATTGTCAGCCATGACTTGTCTACTAAATAAAATAAGAGCAACTTAATGAAAAAAAAATTTCTATAAGATACCTGTGCCAGCTATGATACCAGCTATAAGCTACCAGCCTGCCACCAATAACCTTGATTAGCATAAAATTAAGATGTTAAAAGTAATGTAGAGAATATTTACTGATACAGAAAGTTGCTTATGACATCATTAAGTTTAAAAAAGAATGTTCACTGTGACCCAGTATTTGTTGTTTATTTTTTAAAAATTGAAGGCATAAAAACCATTAATGTTTTGGCATAATTTGTGTGTTGTAAGACTTTGAGGGATTTTATTTTAAAAAAATTGGGGGCATAGAAGAGGGAGTAGGCTCAAGGTTTAGGGGTGTCACCAAAGACAGTGTGGGGAGCAGAACAAGCAGGACTTCTGAAATACACTGCTGAGAGGAGCAGCGGTGCTCCAGAGGTAAGAGCACTGAGACCTAACGTTAGGCCAGCAGGAAAGCCCCTGTTTCTCTGAATTTTCTGACTTAACTGTCACAAACTGATATGTGAGAAAATAATTTTCTTTTAAAAACCTGTTGGAATTTTAATTTAGTCTTTGAATTTATTAGAAATAAGCAAGAGAACAAATGGCAGTCACTTTAGAAACTAGCTGATGCCTCTCCAGCCCAGTCATAGCTATTTCCACATTGCCAGTTAACTCTAAGTCCAGTCTCATGATCTAAGGACCATTATTACTAAATCTGTCCACCTCCACCACACCCCTAAACCTTTACTATTCTCTAGAAATGCTTATCTTGAACAATCTGTCCTGGATATAGGTCATCACTTGCAACCAATGTCCCTCAAAATAATCTACAAGATCTTTTAAAAACACAATGTATTCAAAATTGTACTACAAGTTCTAGACAAAGTAATTAGGCAAGAAGGAAAAAAAAAGCACCCAAATTAGAAAAGAAGTAAAACTATGTCTATCCTCAGATGAATGTATACATAAAAAACCTTAAAGATTATATAAAAAAAACTACTAAAGCTAAAAACAAATACAACAAAGTTGCAGTATATAAGATTAGTTGGGGTAAAGATTCACAACCTTGGATATGACAACGGTTGGGTTAGACAGGACAAGAAAAGCACCAATAACAGAAACCTGGAGGAAGCACAAAAACATGGAAACTGAACACACTTCTAATTAACCAATGTGTCAAAGAAGTGAAAAGGGAAATTAAACAGTATCTTTAACCCAAAAAAAGTAGAAATACATGTGAAAATTTATGGGATGGTAAAAGTCGTCCTATGAAGGCAGTTTAGAGCAATAAATGCTTACTTATGAAAAAGATCTCAAATAAATAACCTATCTTTCCAGTTAGCTATTAAGTAAGTACAAGTATAGGGTTTCCTTTGGGGTGATGAAATGTCTTGGAACTTGATGGAAATAATGGTTGTACAACACAGCAAGTGTATTAAGTGTCACTTTAAAATGGCCAATGGTTAATTTTATGTTATCTAATATTCTTCAATTTTTAAAAAGCAAAAAAGTAGGTAGGACAAGGTAAAGTAACAAATATTTTTAGTAAATTATTTTCTGTTCAGAAAATACTAAATTCTTAAACAGAGTTAAAGCCATTTCACTATATAGCATGTTTTTAAAATAAATTTACTCTCCAAATAATTCAAGAGTGACATTAATAGGATGCTTTATTTCTTACCAGAAGGCTCTTTTCCATTCTGTTTTTCATAGAGGGTGCCCACAGATATCAGGAAAACAATAACCAGGAATACTGGAATTCTCCATGAGCCAGCCAGGGATGCTGCAAATTATTAAACATTAACATTTTTAGTAGAATAAAAACTTGTCTTTAAAAGACTTTTTTAGAGCTTGACAGAACAATTTGGCATATATGTTAATAGCAAAACTGTCTCACGGGGAAAAAGAAAATCATTGGACCAGATGAAGTCCTGCCAGCCTACCTTTAAGGGCCTTGGATCACCTGAGGAATCCATTCTAAAGCACATGCAGGGTTTAAAACCAAACTACTCAACTATCCCCTTTGGTTCCATCAAGCCCCAGGATGGATCAGGCAGAGATGGCGACTTGATTTCCTGCAAGTACTACCAGGTGTGAACTCTCTCAAGAAAAGAGGCAATGGCCCAAAAGGATATGGGATGTCCTCTAGTTTATGATGCAAAACTGCCAACAAGTAGTCAAGGATAAGGTCCCTCCTCATGGCAACCTGCATTTCCCTAAGTTCTAACGCCTCATGGACAAAGCTGCCCGCTTCCCTCCTCTGCCTTTCCCAATTTCAAAATGAGTCACATCAGACATCTTGCTGATAAACTCCAACATTCCAAGTCAGCAAAGTGAGAGTTTGCTTTGTTCCACATCAGATTCTATGCAGAGACATATGTTCAATCAGTTCTGCTTTTTATTTTAAATAACACATAGCTCTAAAAATTACTTTAGGACAGCTCTCCTGCCCACCTGTATCTATACAGTTGTTTCTTTTCATAAACCTGCCCCTTCTAGAGGAAGCGCTTCCCAGCTCATGTCTGCGCCAGTGTCCTTTACTTTTGCTCTTTTTTAAAATAATCTATCTGCACTTTCGGAGGTGAAAACAAAATAAACAAACATAATTACTTAAATAGGCTATCCACTGCTTTTAGTTACTGAATTTTACTTTTTCATTAGAACTTAATATTCCCATAGACTTAGACCTGGAGAAAAAGGTCCCTGAAAAATCACTCTACAACATCCAAGCAAGCACCCAGCTGACAGTGAAGTTCCAAGTGATAGGGAACTCATTATTTTGAGCAGCAGACATTTAGCATCCTTATGGTGAACAGAGATTTGTCTCGGAAGCTACTCATTGCTCTGACATTGCTCCCTCCTGACTACAGAGATCTAATTAAACCACTTTTGTCACAGGGCAGTCCTTCAAATACTAGAAACAGGTTCCCATATTTTATATTCTCCTTCCCTCACCACCTCCTCAGGCCCATATCCCTTCCATTATCTAGAGTGACATCTCGAGGTTCTTTAAGTTTCTCACACAGGGTCTTGGGACTCTCTCTATGTTTGATTATTCATCTACACCCTCAAGGAAGACACCCAAAAGTGGCCATAATAATCTACTTTCTAAGATATATACCTATTTTAAAAGGGCTTTTGAAAATGAAAAACCAATGTAATTAAAATATAGACATGTTAAAGCAAAAACATTTTCATGAAAGATTAAAACATTTCTGAAGATCATTGTAAGGAATTAAAAGTGCATCATATAACACTTTCATTTACATGGTCAGCCTTTGCTGACCATAAACTAGACTTAGAAAATGGGACCCACCTAAATGAAAAAGCAATATAATCCAGACAGGAATTGAAGCTGCTCTCAAATAGTGTTCAGTGCTTGCATTCCACTTGAAAGAAACAGTCAACACGTAGCCAACTACCAAAGTCCAAATCTTAAACAAATGAAAAATAGACACAATTGTAAGACATGCATACAAATGAAAGTAAATCTAAATCTACAATTTGTACAAAGTTGCATCTACACAGCCTGAGCGCTCTGTGTACAACACACATGTAAGTCAGTAGTGCTAAAAGTACTATTATCTAGGTTTTCCTCCTCTCTTTAGGTAAGTCAAGTTCTGAAATAAGCAGTCATTTGAAATCACTTGTAGTAAATACTATTAAATATCTACTTAACAAAAAATACACACAGTTTTGTTATATTTAAATTTAAAAATACTGCATGCATAAAAATAGTATGATAAAATATTCAATTTATAAGCCAAAAACTTAAGTTTAATCTTGTGGATTTCTTAGTTTTTTGTTATTGTTTCTATAGATTAACATCTAGAAGAGAAACAAACAGAAAAAAGCAAGGAAAGAATTCCAAAAAGAATCAGGTTAAACGATTCCATTACAGCCTATGAAATATTCATTCTCTCTCTCTCACACACACACACATACACACACACACACACACACTGTATAAAACTTAGAAAGAAGGCAGCCAGCTGAAGTGTAATCATCCTGAAATAATCTAGGTAGTAGGTGGTTAGAACCTAGTCTAGAATTATATGCACAGTTGAAGAAATATAGCTGAAAAAAAAAATCCTACTAGAAAATAAAACAGAAAATTTGGAGAATAGAAAAACTGGCCAGGGACCCCTCCACAGTTCTCCCCACACTAGAATTAAACGACTCCAGCAACCTATCAAGAGAGACTAACAAAGCCTTCACAGGGACTCTCCAAAAGTTCATAATTTAGTAGAACATTTACAAAGAAAGGAAAGAATACTTAACTCAGAACAAATGTAAGCATGAAGAATTTATTTTAAAAATCTGAACCCTGAAAAAAAAAATTAAACACTAATTCCAAGAATGAAAAAAAAAAAAAAAAGAATTGGTAAGGTTACTACAAAAGACAAGGGAAAACTACCTCTTATTTTATTTTGATCTCATCTATCAATGAAAATAGATAGATCAGGTCTTCACAGTATTTATAGCACCTGACCTTGGAATTCATTTTTGGAAACTAACTAAATAATGCCAAATCCTGAAAAAGGTTTAAATATAAAAAAATTCATTCAGTGCATTTTATATTAATGAAAATCTGACCTCCTAAAAGTTTAACAACTGAGAAATAGTTTTGTTACATATGATTCACTCAATAAAATATTACACAACCACTAAAAAGATTTTTTAAATCAAAGGCTGCATAACAAATACAGGATTATAGCTACTGCAAGGTGAGGGAAAGAAAATGCCCTAAGAAGTTAGTGGTTGTAGTTGGGTGGTAAGATTTTGTTTTTCCATTTATTTGTTTCTATATTTTCCAAATTGTTTTTAATGAGCAATCATTTTTCCTAATTTTTATTTATGTTTAGTTTACAGCGCAATAGAGGTTTCAGGTATACAGTTTCTCACCTCAGCAACTATATATATCACAACACACCCAACCACCAAATGCCCAGTCATCATCTACCAACTAATTGGAGGCAGTAATTATTTTATAATGAAAAGAATATTAAATTACTCTTCTTCAATCAATGCTATTAAATAAAATATTAAGGAGCTCATAAAACCTAAACATAATACAATAGTTGCTTCAAAGAAGTTCAAATTTATGGAACCACATTGGGAATTCGGTGGGAATTCAAGATATTTTAGAATTAACAATAAAGTTGGGAATTCAGTTAGTTCTGAGAAGTCAAACTACTTGATATATAACAATAAAATTCATAACAAGATCTGAGTATAATAATGGCACATTTTTATAACACTATGGGCCAACCTGTTCTAATACTTCATACTTATTAAGTCACTTAACTCCCATGATACCAGGAAATAGGTATTACTATCCTGCACTTTTTACAGATGACAAAAACAGACTTCAGGGAAGTGACCTCCCCAAGGTCGCAAGTTAATAAGTGACAGACCCAGGATTAGAACTCAGGAACCTGGCTCCAGGTTACGCTTTCTTTACAGTAAGAAAAAAATCAGGGTGTCAAAAAAAAATAGAGGCAAAACTGCTCTAATATTCACAAAGAAAATAGTCAACTACAATTGTTGAAATAAAAAAGGGTCCTCAGCAAGTGGGTGGTCTTTGGTGCTATACCACACAGGAGTATAATCAGACCCACCCCACTAAAAGTAGCATCAGTAATTCTAGAAGGCATATTAACAAAACTTGTGGAGTATACAAAATTGGAAAGAGTCAATAAAAGTTGAGATTAAAAAAAAAAATCACTGAAAAAGATACCCTGAAGCTAGAACAATACACTAATTCAAGTAAGATTAAATTTAATTGAGAAAATGCAAAGTTCTGCTTTCAGGTTCAGAATTTAACTGCAGAACTTAACTGAAAAGTGAAGGCATATAAACTACTTTTTCAGTGTGAATCAGGGCTATGAGAACTGGTATGAGTGTCTACGTTAACAGCATAGTACTAATATCAGGAAAAGAGATTACTTCACTGAATATTACACAAACAAGCCACATCAGCAATAAAATTTAGAAATGAAAATTACAACATAGAAGATATAGGTATAGCTGGGAAAAAACCAACTTCCTTTAAAAGGAAATATAAGGCTAGCCATCTTCAAATAGTTGTGGGGAAATGTCATTGAGGAAAATAACAGACTTAATTTTCTGTGATTCTGTGGGTAGAAATAATAGCTGGAAATTAGGAAGCAATACATTTCATGTCAATGTGAGAATAAACTTAACAAATCATAGTTTTCTATAGAATAAACTACCATCACTGAAGTAATGATACAATGATGAATGAAAGACCAAGGTGCAGAATTATACACACACACACACACACACACACACACATCTTAAAAAACTAAACTCTGTAACAGTCACATAAGCACAGAAACATATTTAGAAGGCTATTTATTTGTTAACAATAATAAGAATGTGACAGAGACAACCATTCCCTTTTACCACAGAAACTCCTACATTGTTTAAATTGTGACATATGTCTATGTATAACAAACATGTTTTACTCAGATTGTTTTGTTAAATACACTTTAGGACAACTTACCAAGTTTGTGCATTCAAATGTTATACCTAATTTCTAATATGAATTCCTAAAAGTATGCCTTTAGCAGCATGAATGATTTCTGTCTCTTTCAGATTAATAAATTTCCCCTCTAAGCAAACCTGCTCAAGAATGGATGTTTTTCTAGGCATAAACTGATGAGCCAGTTTACAAACAAGAGAGCATACATTCCCAAATTTGTTTCCTGAGGACAATGTATATTTCAAAAATATACATTCAATACTCATTTTAAAGCACCACTGTGGTCTAGATACTCTTCAAACTGTGGCATAAAACTTGGCAACATTTAACAATACAAGTAAAGCAAATTAATAACATTTCCTTCCATTAGCCACATACATTTTTCTGATTGAAAAGCGAAATTCATAAAACCTAAGTAGACTTGCCTTTAGACTTTTATTTATTGCCAATTGGGAATTTGCCTGAAACACAATTGCCTTGCTACAACTGCATGTTTCTGCAACTGTTTCCTGCGTCTCTTACAGAGAGACAATAGGGGTAAACCTCTCCCAAGTTCTGGAGCCCACAGCTCTAGCCCCAACCAGCTGCTGCCTCCCTACTTCACTCCCCTCTAATTCTGTTCTCTTTATGGTATGGCAATGTAGAATCAAGAATCTTTTACTCTAAAAAGTCTTTAATTGGCTACCCTGGTTTATCTTCAAATGGTGTAAGTCTTTTGTCTTTTTTTTTTTTTTAAAGATTTATTTATTTGTGCATACAGAACTAGGGTACAGGCCAGAGGCTCAGGGGTGGCGAGAGGATTCACCAGAGACAGAATGGGGAGCAGAACAGGCAGATCAACGAAGTACACTGCTGAGGGGAGCAGCGGGCGGGTCAGGAGAGGTCTGCCACGCCATGTGGTCACCTCCGGGGCAGGCAGGGATCGAACTCATGCGGAAGTGGCTTTAGCTTCTCAGTGCTGTGCTTTAACCCACTGCGCCACCAGGGAGGGCCGTCTTTTGTCTTTTAAAAAAGTCAACTGGCAAAGAAACTAAATCCTGGAATCACCTTACTGCTGCCAGTGCAAAAGCATACCTAGGAAAAGGTCCACAAGTGGTCTGGCTGGCGACAGAGCACTTCTTAAGAGCCTTGCCGGCAACACTGCCAAACTCTCGGGATATGTAAATATGAACATCAAGTATTATTAGAAGTCATTCAAGTTCCCCTAACACATTGCACAACTGTGGCTGAGTAGCCTGGAGAAAGGTTCTGGTGTGTCCAAGGTCAGAAATGAGTTTACGACTTACACTCTTCTCATCTTTCACTTTTTTTTTTCCCATCCATGCTTCTATATAATGAAATACAGAAAATAAGTCTATTACTATTGCAAACTGTGAATGGTCTTTGAATTTCTAGCAAGTCAATGAGGGAAGGAAATAAAACTCTCAGCCAAGAAAAATGAAGGGAGACAGCTTTTCTTTTCAGTTTTATGTTTACAACCCTCCCCAGGAAGAGCGACCAGAACACAAAGAACTGTAGTTGCTACAACAGATAATTTTTAAAAAGTACTTAGAAATCACCTACTAAATGAGCAGAATATTCTACAATATTCTGAACTGCTTAACAAGGACAATTTGTACCATAAAGGCTTCATGTCCCATTTGTGAATAGAATGATGTTAGTAGAACAGAGTACGGAAAAGAACTAGGAGACTGAAGGAACCTAAAAAATTGAGGTAAAGAGGAACTGGACTGAAAGAGTATACTGATAACAAAGGAAAAGACAACACTGAAAACACTGCAGAGGAAAACTAGACAGCACTTGGAAGCAACAGCGACAGGAATAAAAAATGATAAAGGTTTCTACAGGACTTGAATCGAGGGGTTTTGGGAGAACATGTGTGGCTATCCAATTCTGACAGTCTTCTATTTCCTAAAAACTAAAATTGATTTACACTAAAAAGTCAAGTTAAAAAAATTTAACATAAGATATCAGGGGAAATTTTTTGAAATCTTTATTGAAGATCATACAAGAGTTGTGAGAACAAAGCAACTATAACTGCTAAGTTCACTGGACACCATTTACCAACGAATGAACAGATGAGTCTCTAAATGAGCCTTCTCGTCTCTGAAGTCCTCTCCACCCCCATACAGGATTGCTGACAATGAAATAACATGCCTCAAAAACTGGGTCTGAAAGGTATGAACTGTCAGTTCTCCAAAATGCAGACTTGCTCAAATGTGACTGCATAAATGTGAGTTTTCTCTGCCTCTCCCAGCTACACCTCTCCTTAGCAGGATACTCAAATTTACAAGTTGTCATGGAAGCATAGTGTATTTTTCTGTAATAGGCAGTGTGCTTGGAATAACAAAAACCAAACCTGTTGTGAACTATGAGACACAAGAGTTAGAGTGTGGCCCCTATCCGGTCAAAATTCCTACTTCACTTCATTAGTCAGGCCTTAATTAGCACTTTTGGTTGAGGGCTGAGGACTCGACTCTACTTGCTAGGTACATGTCACCCTCATTCAACCACTCACCCCTAAGTGTTGCTTCCAGAAAACACAAGTGCAGGCTTTGTTTTCCTTCAACTCACCTCAGCTTTGGGAACCTACTCTCTCAATGTGTCCTCTCCGCCTCTCCCTACTCACATTGAATTAATTCATACTGTCTCTTTTATATCGAGTTCTTCACCCCTCCTCTTCTGCCTTGCCCCTTTATAAGCAGCTATTTCAAGCCTTTTTAAAATTATTAACTGGCTTGACCTCCTCCACCCCTTCTGCCTACTATCTTGGTCTTTTTATTCTGCTCATCTACAACCCATGCAAGGGTAATTAAGTAAAATACAAAGATGAGCTTTGTATGCCAACATGAGCTGCTGTAGGACCTTTTTCACAAGGACTCATTTTCCCATCTCTTTCCACTGAGACTAAATGACAGAAATGCCCTGCTTTCCACTAATCATGCCCATTTTACCATGTATTCAACTTCTTACTCTACTATGAAACCTCACAACCCATATGTTAGGCCATTCTTATCTACTTTTCTATATTTTAGTGGATATGAACCTTGGTCTTGCCTACTTTAACTTACAGTAAACTGTAGTATCAACAGTCAAAAACGTTAGCATTATCTGTGTCTGACTTCGACAAGACTGAGTTTCTTGAAAGTAGGAATCAACTCTTTATATTTATATAGCCAGCATTCAGTCAATTCAAACAAACTGTGAAACAACAAAGTACAGGAGGAGCATCACTGAACTAGAACTCCACAAATGTGAGCAGTGGATTGTTCGCAAGCTGTATGACTTTAGGACAGTCATGGGCCCTGGGCCTCAGAGGCTTCTTCTGAAGGCTGGTGGGGATCTGGCAGTTGTAGGATCACTTCCACCTGATAATCCAACAAGCTCTAGGAGTTGAAAAGGGTTGCTCCATATCCATCCTATCAAAATTGAAACAGCTCAGACTCTTGGAGACCAAGACTTCTGTCTGATCACTAAGCAGTCCCACACGGAGGCAGCATGCCATAATAATAGCTGAGGTGCTCCCCTAAACTCTGCCTTAACTTGCAAGCCCCAAATTACTGGGCAACGAATTTTATGTGTGTGTGTGTGTGTGTGTGTGTATGTCCTCTCAATGACTATATGCTCATATATGGTTACATGTATGCCCGTAAAAACAGAGCCTACATCCTACTTGTTTTTCAAATCCCTCAAAGTCCAACATTATCAATATTTAAGTCTGTGAGGTGCCACTGATAATGCAAAATGAGACAAGGAGTCTGATACTGGCCTTCTCTTCTTCTAATAGCAGGTCAAATGAAAGCCCTGCTTGACAGGCATGGGGAATTACTTTGCCAGTTAATGTTAAAGTGTGTGGAATTTTATTTTACTGACAAAAGTGGTTTAAATTTGTACTTTACTTATTTTCAATAAAAAGAACTTTAATAGAATGAGTGTACAACAAAGTGAAGGATACTAGTTTCCCTGTGAAACACCCAGTTACTGATACCCTCCTGTGTAAATGCCCAGTCAAACAGGGCTTGCAGAAGTAGACCCACTGAATCTTGAAAGCTTGCCACAAGTGTACAGCACCTACTGGCAGGGTAAAATTTTTCAATGGTACTTATTGATGAATTATCATGCATTAAGTATCAACTTGTTTTTAATAGTCCCCAAGTATTTAGACAATTACTGGTAAACAGTCTGGTCTGAGTTAAAAAAAAAAACGTTGTCACTAAATTAGCTCTGAAATTCCTTCCAATTCTATGATGTCCCGGTTTCTAAGAATAAGTTTAGGGTGATCTAACAATCACAGAATAACAGATATACCTCTCCTTTAGGTAGAGTGCTGAAGCAATCTGAAGAAGTGCCGTGTACAGCAGTCCAGCACAACATAAGCAGGTCCTCCATAAGAAGTGGGAGGGTGGGAGGGTGTTCAGCACCCAGTGCTCGCTCAAAGTATATTCAAATTGCTTCAACTGAGCGCAGCATCACCAAGCAGGCAGAAAGCTTTGTTTCAAGGCTTGAAAACCCGAAGTCAATCTTGCCCCCTATTTGTCCCTAACTAGCCCTAGTCTGGTAATAAGTCACCTCTCCTATCTAGAGGATGTCAGACTGGAGTAGAATCTCGCAGGTCCCCTCCAGCAGGTGCATCCACAAGTCCCAAGCGAACAGAAGTACGGAGCACCCCTTCTACCAGGAATCGCTCCAGCCCTCCGGCCAGGGCTCTGGAACCCCTACCTGCAAAGCGGAACACAGCTTCCCGGCCAGGGAAGGCGACCCCATTAAGTCTATTAGAGGCAGCGGGGAATGGAGGCTGTTTCAAACCACACCCCCCACCCCCTCTCTTTGGAAGGAAGGGCGCCAAGTTGCCCAGGTGCGCGGCAGGACCGCGGAGACACAGCCGCGTCCTTTAGTCACCCTTGCCCAGGGAGAAGGAGCTGCAGGACTGCACCCCCATGGAGCTAGGGGTGCAGTGGCGGGCAAGGCAAGAGTCCCGGAGGGCCGCGGTCGCGCACTCACCCACAGGCTGCTGAAGTAGTCCAGCGCGCGGCAGATGAGAGCGCCGCAGTACGCCAGCAGCACCTGGATGCCCAGGTAGCTGCCGATGCTGTAGAGGCCGTAGAGGAGCGGGACGCCGGCGCCGAGCAGCAGCAGCAGGCGGCGGCGGCGCAGCGCCTGCTCGCCCAGGGCCTCCACGCCGTAGTCGGCAAAGCAGAGCGGCAAGAGCAGAGCCGCCAGCACGATGGGCGTGTGCGCGCGGTGTAGGCGCCGCAGCCAGTGGCGGCCCAGGCGCGTCAGCGAGCTCTTGAAGGGGTGCAGGAAGGTGCCGCACAGCACGGCCCACAGCAGTGGCCGCAGGAAGGCCTCCAGGATGAAGTAGACGAGCACCGCGGCGCCGCAGCATAGACACACGAACAGCACCGCCCC